GGAAATACGTAAAAAGTAAATTTAAGATACAAATTAAGCATTTTAATTAATTAATTAATCTCATTTTCCCAATATTTGAGGTTAGGAACGAGATTTTGAAAAACGGTTTTCATTGGCCTCTTTGAATGTTATTTGGTTCCTTTTTCATAAAGAAAAAATCATATCATTCCATTTGATTTTTTTAGGATTTTGGGTCATAGTGTCAAAACTAGCCCCCTAGCGGAAAAGGATTCAACTGGATTAACTATATTTTGGTTGATTCTCATTGCCCAAGGAATGTTCTTTTCAACCATACCATACCAAGTTTGTTAAAATCGGTCAAACCGTTAAAGTTAAAGAAGATTATTGCAAAAACAATTGAACACCATCTTTGTTTTTGAAATACCTGAGTTTTTGTTTTTACGAAAATGATAGATAAACTTGTTCTCTTTAAAAATGTGAAACATTTTTTTGTTGATTATGCGAAATTTAAAGAAAATGCAATTTTAAAATTTAAGATTTACCCAATAATTTTTTTACCCCTAAGTCATATGACGAACGGTTCTCGACATATGGCCGAGGAACAGTCTTATTGGGTCACCCGGTATAGTTTTTGAAGCGTACAAATGATTTTTTATGGAATGAAGCAACTGGAAAAACCCTCGTATGTACTAACTGTAAATATATACGGGAAAATAGCAGATTTATTTTGGTTATTTTTGTAATGTTTTCCACTCACATTCTAAATCATTAACTCTGGTCACGACAAAATTCATTGATTAGGAAACAAAATAGGACACCAATTTCGTAGGGAAAACGTCTCAAGGCATTACGTCTATGTCCAAGAAGAGAATTTTACGGATTTTCGGTTAATCGAGAATTGGTTATTCGATAATGGTATGTAATTATGTGGTAAACGATCTCCAGACGATCGATTTATTTTTACTATAATTAACATTGCGTTAGTGGTTGAAAATGACGGTGTTCAAATATTAATAACGGCAGAATTTTGTTAAACACTCGAAAAAAGTCGATTCAATGCCCACAGATTACACGCTTTTTACAGCGAAAAAATCGCAAATGACAGTCCACTTTGATCTGAGACCGGCATCCACTTTACATGCGAGAAATTTTTCTTAAATTAGTTCGAAAAAAACTCGAACAAAGTTTCTTAATGTATAGACAAAGAAGCGAAACTAATTGGTCAGGTCCGCGTTTTCTACCTTAGGGTAACTGACTATTTCGTCGAGAATGAAATCTGCTATGCGTGACTCGGCTCTTTCGAAATATTGTAACATCTAATTTAACCACGTTCGAAAATTCGATTACATGTTTTTCCCCTCGCAATGCGAAAGAAAAAAACCGTCGGTTTTTAGGGCCACCTGTTTTAACTCTCTTGTTACGGTACCATAAATTAGGAAATGGGGGATTTGAATTTTCGGAATTCACGCCCATTCTCCGAATGCCTCAATTTAAATACTAAAAGGATATTTGAATGTCGAACGTAAATTGAATTATCGACACCGAAATTATTCAGACCAAATTAATTAAGCGAAGGATCTGCGATGATTCACTTTCGATGAAAGTTTATCGAATCGAAATGCAAAAGGTTACACTTGGTCTATGACATTTCAATTGCTTTAATCAATATAACATTGAGTCATTATAAATAATTCCTATAAAAAGCCCATGTTTTTTTCTCGAGATCAAGATTGATGCAAGGGGAAGGTTTCAAGTTACATCTCTTCGCAGCGTATCTCGTTTCAACCCGCTCGTCTACTTTGTGTTTAAAAATATGACCGTTAAAAAAATTAAATTTTAATGTGTCCGAGTAACTGGGGCAAATCGATTTAGTTGCATAATATTAAAAGGAAGGAAGGAGTCCATGACCGGATGAGCGTATTTACATTTTTAACCTAAAAATATTTTCAATACGCGTAAATCGATTGCATAATTGTTTCTTATTACGCACAGCACAGTTAAATTAATTATCGTGAACCTAAACAAGGAACTCAGTGTACCCCCCGGGAACAGGAAATTTTATACTAACGTATTTTGCATAACTGAATCGCTCGGAGAAAGGAAGTGCAATTTTTGAAATTTTTCCTAAATTCCGCATTTATGAATTTTCAGTTATCTTCCTCGAATTAAATTATTGCTTCACCGCCAATGTCTTCTCCCAAAAACTGGTTATCTCGGAGCATCCCGAATTTCCTCAAGACCACGTTGGGCTCTTTTGGAATGTGATACCAATATTACTCCGGCTCCCAAACTATCGCCAATATAGTGACACTATGTACTTTCTTGCATCAAAATCGCGCGAAAAAAATGCATTTATTGTAAGAAATATGCCTCCCGTCTCCCACATATTCATCAAATTTGGAAATCAGGACCTTATAGTAAACACTGAGATTTGATGTTATGTGAAGTAATATCAACTGTAGCAATAAACCGATACAACAGAACCTCACAATTAAAGGTAATTAATTACAAACATTGTGAGCAAATATTTTGAGATCTT